TAAGTCACAGTGCTGACCAAAGACAAAAAGATCCCCGGTGGCGGAGTCGCATCTACAACGCCTGTACGGCCAGTACAACGCGCCGCCAACGGCTGGGCGACCAGTACGGCGGCATCGCAGCCGCGCCGAGTGCGACGCTTCCCGGAGGCGCTCAAGAGCGGCTGCTACTGGCGCTTCGACTGGTTCCTGAACGCCGACAACCCCCAGGTGAACTTTCCGCCAGGTCTCATGCCCTGCGGCCCTCACGTCTCGCAGCGGGTGTGTGAGGCAGAACAATGCCTTGTTCGAATGAGCGTGGGACATGAAATGGGGCTTTGACAGTGAGGAAGGCGTTGCCATGAATATTTGGGCTGATCCACACACCATCAATTCTCAGTACATCTAGACCAGACGGAACGGCCCTCTGTCTTGTTGTGCCTGGTTGCTGGAGCCAGATGTCTTGGCAACTAGTCACCCTCGAGGGTAAGGAATCGAACATGATGACCGGCTTGCGAGGGTGGTGTCAGATATGTCAACAGGCCTCATGTCCTCAAGCAACTGACCTGGTTCTATTCAAGGATAAAAGCTACATAGCCTTGAATCATGACCAGTACCATGAAAGCCGCGCATAAGACTGCGTAAGGTCCATTTGGGCCACATTGACACATCATCATCATCACGAGCCTCATGAAGCAGTGGTTATGGACTTGGTTCTTCATTGATATCTTGGCTTCTGAAGAGCTGCTTGAGCATTGTCATAGGAATAATGTAGACAGAGACTCCCCGCGGAATGCTACTGATGATGTAAAAATTCGTAAACGCTGCAGCTCTTGGCTTGCAGCAGCATCAGATGGCGTGCCAAAGGGGTATCACGATCCGGTAAAGTCAATTTGACGTCGAAATAAGCAAGAAAACATGGCCACGAGCCACACCACGTGCACCATCTAGAGGGGAATTCATAGTAGCGGTAGCTGAACGTCTCTAACGAAAGACGGACAAGCTGCAGTCCGGGAGCGCAACGCCATTCACCAATTGGTACGACCTCTGCCAAGTCGTGTTTTATCCCCGCGCTACAATAGACCGTATCACAAGCCCAATGAGATCCGCGGCACGAGACGGCCAAGACCAGCGGACCGCAATGGAGCCATTACCGCTTCAACGGAAGCTCTGCTAGCCAGGCATCGATCTGGCTGAGGGAATGGGCTGGGCCTGCCTCAGCCTTCCTTGGCCCTCGAGTATGGAGCGTCTCGGTGTCAGCGCCGTTGTTGAGCTTGAAGGCGGACCCGCTCCTCAGGACCCAGAGA